GCTGGGCCGCATGACATCGCGATCTCGGCATACTTTTTTCACTGCTGATGCCACGCAGTACTCTTTGTCTCGAAAGTCTGGGCCTTGATGAAATAAGTCTCCCCGTCAGCAGTGTCCGACTTCACAGACCCGTGGCTAGTATTATCATCACAGTTATCTAGGAAATGCAATCTACTCGCCGTATCAGATCCGGATCGAAAGGAAGAGGAAGGGGAGCCGTCTCCCTCGCTGCCGCGGACATCGACGGCCCGGCGGAGGACCTCTGCTAGGAGCGCGACTTTAATCCGCCGGCTTTCGTCTTCGTCCTCGTCCTCGTCCTCATCGTCACTTCGTATACCTTGACCGATAGCCGTGGTTCGAGTGTACGTTGGATGCGGCGGAGGCGGGGGCGAGGGTGTTGGCGTAGGCGGCGGCGGAGGGAGCGGGAACACGCTCCGCTGCTGGGCTTCGCGGCGGCGACAGACGAGGCACTTGCCCGGTTGGCGGAAGACGCCGGAGCAGGAGAGGTCTGGGCATACGTCGTCGCCCCCCGACGAGTCGTTGGGGGAGCGAGAGCGAGGTGTGGATCGTTGCTTGTAGCATGGGTGGCTTATGTGGTGGCCTTGCCAGCAGCCGCAGGCGACGTGGTAGACATTTTCTGCGAGACACATTTGTGAGATGATCCCGGACTGAGGCCTTTCCCCTTGGTGGTTGGTTGTGTTGATGGGCGAGGGTGTTGGCTTACCTTGGTATATCGTCAGATTCGATCGGGGAGCGGATGGTCCAAGTTGGAGTTGTCGATGTGTGTCAATGGCTCTATAGTCTTATCAAGCCTGGAGTGTTTCTTTGAAGTCTTTGGAGAATGGGTGAGCTCTTGTCGTCTTGTCACCCTTTTCCTTCTCTTCATAGTTGGCGCTTGAGGGGGCTTCTCCTTGTGATATAGATCCAAGGTAGGGAAGACGCAAGACTTGCTCCTCATGAACGTGGCATACGTGGAGCTTTGGAAGCTGTGTTGTTGTTGAAAGTTGAGTCTACTTTGTTCAAACAAACACAACGGCTGTGATGTTGACGAAAGAAAGAAACTATTCCAGTGCATACGGAGATGACAATGGGGGACAATGAAGACCCTTCAGATTGAACAAGTCATCATTTCCCCCTTAGGCGTCTCCCTTCTATGTTGGAGGCCAGTTCATTTCAATCGTATACAAAGTATGGTTATGGCTACACCCACCTCAAGATTGAGCGGTTAAGTGGTCTACTTACGAGGCAATTCCAGATAGCATTACTTTTCCTCACGCCTTTGGCTCTAATATGTGAATATTTCTCTAGTTGAAGGGAGGTAGAAAGAGAGGTAATCTTCAATCTACTCGCTTTCAAGAGAGAATCTCCGTTCTGGTCAATAATACGAGTTTGTCAAGCGGCCCGGTACGACCCGGTCTCGGCTGATCAAATAGGAGGCTTTTGTGTGTGAACAGGGAGGTTTGAGCGGCAACTCTACAGGATTCCGATTGACAAAGGAATAAGCATTTAACTCAAGTGAGGTAAGTCTTGTCGAGGAGGGACCTAAGTTCGACGATTAGTTAGAGAGATTATGCAGTTGTGGCATCTGAGTCGGTTGGCTCATAAGTTTTCAAGATCAATACTTGCTACTTCTGGATATATCTTGATCTCTCAACTGAGTTTCATGCCATATGCAGCCGAGAACTGCTAAGAAAGGGGGCACACGAAAGTCTCACGGTTTCATAATCATGTCTTCATTTCTACACATCTTCTCTAAAACTCCGCAGCATCATTGCCCCTTCCCAATCTCCTTCATCTACGGGATGGTCTTCGCAACATCTTGCACCACACCTAATCAACCAACCTGGCAAGGTGAACACCGTCATACAACGGCATCAGCCAAGAATCCAGCCTCGGGTCGTCGTGTACAGCGCTGTTGAACTCGCGCAGCTTATCCACGTCCTCGGATTTCCAGTACGCCGCGCGCTCACCCTTCTCGCGCTGCACCCACGGGTTCTCGTCCGAGTCGTCGGCGACGATGCCGCGGCGGAGGACGTTGTCCGCGACGATGAGGCCGCCCGGGCGGAGGAGACGGTTCTTGCTGCCGTCTTTCGGGGAGGAGGCGAGGATGGTCGATAGGTAGGATGGGTATCCTGACTTTTGGGCGTCGATGAAGATTAGGTCGTAGGGTTCTGAGGGGTTTAGGGTCGGTAGGCTGGGGTTTGAGTGTGTGTCAGTGAGGTGGTCTTTCATAGCCCCCTTCATGCTGCCATCTTCTCGGTCTGGAAATGAAGCTTAGGAGGAAGAACTCACGTCTCCAGAGCGTCGCCGACGATGACGGACGCGTTCTTGATGCCGTTGGCGGCCCAGGCCTTCTCGGCTTGCTTTGCGTAGTCTGCGCTGAACTCAAGGCCGGTAACGGTGCCTTCTGGGCCTACGGCGTGGGACCAGACCATGCCGGAGTAGCCGACATAGACGCCGATTTCGAGGACTATGAAGTGCGGTGTTTGTTAGCGTTGGTTTCTGAGTTTTGGGTTGGGTTGAATGAGAGCCTCGTGTGCCAACTTTGACTCTATGGCTTTATGAGATTTGATCATGACTAAGATCCGAGGTATTGTAGAGATGGTTGACAACGCCTAATTTCTTCCCATAGATCTCTCCAATATCTCACTTGAGTTGTGATTCTGGCTGAGTTGAGTTGAGTTAAGCTGCCTCACGAGAGACACAGCTTCGCAGGCTCAAATGCGCCAAACGACTCTCAACCAAACCAACCACGTCAAAGATTCTCTCCTCCCTCCTCTCACCCAAACGAATAAACGAAGCGGCAAAGACATAAACGTCTACCGAAAACTCACTTCTCTTAGCCCCAATAAGCTTCGCAATCCAAATGTGGTTCTGCGCCTGAAAATTGCTAATCATCAACATGGACGTCTCGGGCTGCGTCTTGTCAATGTGGTCGTGGTAGGCGACAATGTGCGCGGGCAGATCGGTGGAGCGGGACTCGGAATACGTCGTCACATTGCGCGAGACGGACTCATTTGGGTAGAGGACCGAGACGGAGGACTTCATCTTTGCTATGTTTGGTTGCGCAACGCTAGCTATCAATGGTGCGATGTTCCTTTGCTTGTAGAAGAAGCCAAGTTGTACAGGGAAACGTGTTGTCGTTTTGTCAGACGTTTCCGGGGTGAGTTGGCGTTCCGAGGATGAGGTGAGGCCGGGAGTTGGTTGAATTGGGTCGAGTCAGGTGGATCGTAACGGGGTCGTTCGTCGGCACTTCTCGATAGACAAGCGTATGAAGTGCAGAAGTCGTGATTTCCAAACAGAGAAACCAGAAAGACGAGAGAGAAAGAGAGAGAGAGCCTGGTGTATTTATGCCAAGTATGAAGTTCCCAAACGACCCCCCTCCCCTCCTCCCCCGCCAAACGTCGCGCTGGCGTCGATTAATAAGTCATTCTCTCCTACCTTAGCTTCATGACAAGTGACAAACCACGGACATCGTGTCACGACCCCCCCGGTCCCATCCCGCGCGCGGAACGGGTGGACATGGAGAACAAACGTCGCGCCCTAGTTCCGAGAGCTGAAGCAAAGATCGACCCCTCCATCCATCGTTGCGAGTTCCACCCCCACCTCTTTCCATCCCCCCCCCCCCCCCCGCCTTCGGAGCAAGATGCCGGTTGTCGAGTGTGGTCAGTAGGTGGCGTCCCCCGGTTGCGCAATCGCCCACCATTCATCCACCCCCGCCAAAGCGAACCGAAGACTCCAATGGCATTGAACGAATATTCGTACCGGACATAAAGTCTGATAAAATGGTAACTAGGTAACCTGCCTACTCGGCCGAAGTCGCTACCTATGAAAGCTCGGCTCGGCGATGGGGCACCGTAGTTGAGCACACAAGTCAGTCTATACTACTTCATTCGGACTTACTTCTTCAGACGATGAGGCGCTTGGTGGATCTATCTTTACCCAACCAACCGCAACGAACTGTTACAACTTCCACGTCTAGAAATTCTCGGGCCTGACACACGGCACTTTTTGGGTAGGGTTGTAGTTGGTAACTTTCGATCTCGGCCGTCCATTTTCGCCGCGTTCTTGCCCACTTGGGGAATTGCTACCCTTTTACTTTCTGTACTTTTTTTTTGACAGGTGCTTGTTCCAGCGGGAGGTTAATCTTGCAGTTTGAGAGAGGGGAACGGACAAGATTGCATAGGTTGCCTGCACGGCATTTGCGGACTTCGGATTAATCCGTTACCGGCCGAAGAGATATAACAGTTGGGATGGAAGGAAGTTTTTGGAAACGGGTTACAAACACACTCGGTGCCGTTGCGGCGGGACTGAGGTATCTGCCTGCTTACTCCAGGTCCCGAGGTTCCTTACCTTACCTTGCTTTACAGGCCACACCACACCATCCCACTAAAAACGCCGTGTCTGTTTCGGGAAGGCGGGGCGGTTCCGAGGGACGATTAGGTGATTCTTCAGTGACTTTCTCAACAACCACACCGTGGACTCAGAATAGGTGACTATCTGTGCAACGTCAGTTCGCACTCGACGTATCTCTTGAACAAATACATTGCTCACCAGTTGCCTAGTCTCTCTGCTTTCTCAAGTTCACTTTCTCTTCTGGCAGATTTGGCAAATACAAAGTGGTTTCCAAAGTGTTGTATTAAGGCGGGGGAACTTTAAAGTCTAGTGACTTCAATAACAAAACAGTTACACGACTAGATACTAAAAACCCTCCGCGATATGCCTGGCAACGAAAAGACGGGCGACGGGAAGTTACTCCTGACAAGATTAAGTCTTTTGTCCAAGTTTCTCGCGCCAAGGGCTCATGTTTCCCGTATGCTCTTCCACTAAACACTTTTTTCTCCCCCTTTTCTCTTCAAGGACAATGGCCACTGAACTCCGTTTCATACGCTTCACTTCGGAGGCATAAGTCCACTCATGTTTCAGTGGCTGCTCTGCAGCAGGTCATACCCCTCCCAGGCCTTTTTGTAAAAGCGTCTTCCGTCAGGTCATAAGGCCGCTTAAAGGAAGAAGGCGGCGACCATGAGGGCACCGGCGAGGGTGAGAGGCGCCTTGACATAGCTGCCGCCAGCGGTGGCGACCGTGGAGGGCTTGCCTCCAGTTGTAGGCGGCTGGGCGGGAGGCTGCGCCGGAGTCTGGGTAGGAGGCTGCGCGGGCGGCTGAGCAGGAGGTTGAACGGGAGGTTGCGAAGGAGGCTGCGCCGGGGGTTGCGCCGGGGGTTGAGCAGGAGGCTGCGCGGGAGGTTGAGCAGAAGGCTGAGAAGAAGGCTGCGCCGGGGGTTGAGCAGGAGGTTGAGCGGGAGGTTGCGAAGGAGGCTGCGCCGGGGGTTGCGCAGGAGGTTGCGCCGGAGGCTGAGCGGAAGGCTGCGAGGGAACGGTGGCAGGCTGGTTCGCAGTGACGGTAGAGTTGTGGTAACGGACCCTGGTAACCGTAGGGCAAGGCGTGCTCGAGGCCTGAGGGGTGACGGGAACAGCCTTCTGCGAAGACACCACGATGGCGACGGAAGCTGAAGACGTAGGTGGTATGGTGCGTTGGGAGGAGACCACGATAATGGGCTTGGAGGAAGAGGAGACGGCCTTCTGCGAAGACAGGACGACGACGGCGGCAGAGGTGGTGGCCTTGGCGGTCGTGGTGGTCTTAGGCTTATGGGAAGTCGTTGCCTTCTTGGTGGCCGAGGTGCAAGGAGTTGTGGCGTTGTGGCGGCGGCTGGAGGTTACCACTACCTTGGAAGAGGTCTTGGGCTTGTGGGTGGTCGAGGACTTCTTGGAGCTGGAAGAAGACTTGCAGGGAGTCGTTGTGGGCTTCTTGGAAGTGGAAGACACGCAGGGGGTAGTGGTCTTCTTGGTTGAGGTGGTGCAAGGTGTGGGTGTAGGCTTCTTGGAGGTGGTGCAAGGAGTCGTGGTGGGCTTCTTGGAGGTAGAGCAGGGAGTGGTTGTCGGCTTCTTAGAAGTAGAGCAGGGAGTGGTCGTTGGCTTCTTAGGGGTCGTGCAAGGAGTAGTGGTAGACTTCTTAGATGTAGAGCAAGGCGTCGTGGTGGGCTTCTTAGACGTAGAGCAAGGCGTCGTGGTGGGCTTTTTGGACGTCGAGCAAGGAGTCGTGGAAGGCTTCTTGGACGTCGAGCAAGGAGTCGTGGTGGGCTTCTTGGAAGTTGAGCACGGGGTAGTCGTTGGCTTCTTCGACGTGGTGCAGGGCGTCGTCGTGGGCTTCTTGGAAGTAGAGCACGGGGTAGGCTTGTGCTTCCTGGTGGAAGTGGTGCAAGGGGTAGTCGTGGAGGTGGTCGTGCAAGGCTGGGTGACGGTGACGACCTTTGTGCTCCAAGTCCAGGTCGGCCGGCCGGGGCCGGGCACAAAGACCCGGGACACGGTCGTCTCGAAGATGGTCTGCGGGTCCAGGGGCACGGCGGGGAAGTCGGGCTGCGACGGCTGCCAGCCGCCCGGACGGGTTGAGGTAAGCATCTGGGACTGGGCCAGTCCGGAGAGGACGGCAACGGCGACGGCGGTGACCCTCATGATGTCTGAGAGAGGGGGTAAGGTGGGAAATGAGAGAAAATGGTAAAAACGATTGACTGAGTGACGAAGTGAAAGGTTCCCGCCTTCCCTACACGATGACAGTGAGCGAGTGACTGATGAATCGGATGAGGATGGGAGAGGAGATGGTCTGGAGTCTACTCCTCGACTCGCTTTACTTATAACCATCGGTCTGGTGGCCTTCGACGACCTTGATCCTTGATGGTCCTTCGTGTCTGCATGGCTTGTTGAGTATCGATTTCTCATGATGTTGGAGAGATAGTTTGAACCGGATAGAGCAACAATCAGACATCGGGGCCCAACGTGAGCTTCGTAGACCTCAAGGTTGTGAAGCCATCGAAGCTTATGCAGAAAGCTTCTCTCACTTGAGCCACTTGGGACATAAGCTCCCCCCTTCCTGAAGATCAATGGAGCCAAATACCGATGGCAACAAGTCAAAGTTTTTCTCTTCAAGCCACTGGAACCTCTGCGGAATATCTCATGGCGCCGTTCTGGAGATGGACGGCCAGGCCAGGTTGCTTGCGAATATGGTCTTTTCTGAGAAATATGTTGGTTTCGGCGAATAACAGCACGGGAGGGCGCGAGTGGTTGACGTCTTTTCACGTGTTGCCGACACTTTTGGCGCTCACTAGGCGATCTTGATGGAGAAGCTGCATGTTTGAACCTTTGCTTGAAAATTGATGAAAACGCTTGGGTACATATTGGTGGCGGGACCTCTATCGGACCTCTACCACTAGTTGATTGCCCGCCATTCGCTTTTCGTGATAATTCTGCAGCGCTCTTGCACCTTTGGTCATGATACTCGACACTCACAACCTATGGATTCCGATGAGCGGTGTCCGTTGCTGTGACTCGAAAACGGAAGAGTGGTGATTTGTGCACCTTGACAGAGCTCTCGACGCGATCGAAAAGCCTTGTGCTTGCTTGTTGCTTCCAAGCTCCCCTCAGCATCTGCAATCTGCAATGCTCAGCTTTGTGCGTTCTGTGTCGGACCATGCTCGCTATGTATGCCTTCTGTCGACTCCATTCTTTGCCCCTCTCGGAACACGCTTCCTAGAACCTAACGCCATATTGCCTCGCATTTTAGTAATCGGAGTCAGAGAACAGACCGAACCGCATCCGGTGGCTCTGTGTCCATTGTCAGCTTTGAACTTTGAATGTCTTGTGTCAATGAGGGGAAAACATACAAAAGGCAGCTTGGGAATGACAACTGCTAGCACAGCCAAGAAGTTGATGCTAAAGTAGGCGAGATCGTAGTGCGTGTAATGCGTGCTGAGGAGGAACAGCACGATTGGCACGCTGAGCAAAAACTTCTTGGCGGGTGTGTATTGAGCCCCGTCGTCGATTTGTTCCCACATGTTCAGGTTATCAAAAGCACCGCCGTTGAACTCGAATGGCACACCGCGAACGTAGTGAAACATGATGTAGGATCCAAACATGTACGAGATATTCGTCAGAGTCCAGGATGTCTCCTGTGACACGCCCGGCATGACATCGTAGAATATCTTTAAGCAAAGGATGAGGACGAAATGGATTGTCCAGGCGCCTGTCGACGATGATTGTCAGTTTCTGTTTTCCTACCTCCCAATAGGACTCGATGGGCTGGCACGCGACCAAAGCAAAGGGAATGAAAAGGGGGCATAGGATAGCTTCCAGTCAGGGAGCTTCGCGCGGGGCTCACCTTTGGCATTGACCCAGTTCGCATTGAGGTTGGGCACGACGGCCTGGTCGCTTATCTGCTCGAGTGTCTCTTGCGGTTCGTAATGGACCTGGAGGATACTGCTAGATCTCCTTCTGCGGGCACCGGGTTCCGCCATTGCTCTGTACGATCCGCTGCCACTTCGCGGAGGATTTGTGGCCGCGTCGTACGAGACGGTGCGAGAGAGGAGGATTGGGGAAGACAGTTTGGCGGTGTTGGAGGGGGAGTTGGGGTGCGAGTTGGGTTTTGTGGGTGGAATGGAGGAGGGGAAAGTCTCTGCGGGCTCTCGGGATCGTCGTCGGCGTCCTCGTGAGGCTGGGGTTCGGCGGAGTGATGAATTTGTCGTGTGCTGGCGGCCCCCTTGATGATGTCACGGGGAAAGCGAGCAGTAATTGACGTTACGTTGAGTTTGATGTTGATGCAGGTGTTGTATATAGGAGATGCTGGGACTGAATGTGGTTGAAATTTGATGGAAGCGAGAGTAGAGAAAAAGGTGTCGTCGGGACAGTCGAAGAGAAGCGAGAGCGAGATTCTGGCTGCGAATGTTGGGGATGCCGTCGTCGTAATAGTCTACTTGGCAATGGGATGAAGAAGAAGATGGGACATTTTCCCTTAGATATTCATAGTAAGGTAACAGCAGCCAGCGGAACGGGGGCACTCAACTGGGGGGGGGGGGGGCAGGGAGGACAAAAAAGAATGGGGCCCATTGGACAGTCCCCCGACAAGGCCACGGCACAGGGCCTCAGGTGCAGGGCAGCTGCGCGTGCAGGCAATTGGAACCAGGCACAGTGAAGACTCCACTCGTCCACTCCTCCCCAGCAAAAGACACGACAGGACAAACCTGAGATTGGGATCCGAGCCGGCCAGACTGTTGCAGACAGCACCAGTTTCCTCCACCTTTCCAGCTCATGGCAGCCAGTGCCAGCCGACACGAGCGTAACGAGACGAGGACACATTGATGCGGACGACGGGGCGTGGAGCCCCCCCCCCCCCGTCAGGGTCGTTCAGGGGACCACCCCAATTTCAGCGGGTACGGGAGACTTGGAGAGGGGAGGAGACGGCTGGCTGGCTGGGCAGGCCAGGGACGGAGTTACATACAGTACAAGCACTGGCAGGTTCTGATGGGAGAAAGAGACGGGACTGACTGGATGGACGGGACGCAGAGACTCCGGAACCAAGGAGGACTGGACGGAATTGGACCTGGACCTGGACCAGGGACTCCTCAGTTCACAGGAGGGAAAACAGAGCGGGAAGCAGGGCAGGCATTCCCGTCTCTAGGAGCCGTAGAAGGTATGTGCGGATGGCATGGGAAGCCCATCACACACTCTCTCAACTTGCAAGAGGCTCTTGCACCTTATCGCCTTGTCCTAGGAAACTTTTCCTCCAGGTGCGACATGCCCAGCCGGTACACACACCCGACGAAATGTTGCTCGATTTGACAACCTTCTTCCTCCCCCACCATCGAAGAAGAAGAAAAAAAGAAGGGACTCTGATCGTTGCATACAGATCCTCCCCCCAGCTCCCACATACAGCAAACGGCATACGGCATGCGCACAACCCTGCCGAGAGCACGGCACGACGGCTAGACTAAGCACCAGAAAAGATCGATTATCCAGTACCTACAGCGACGCGTCCCGCGGGAAGGGCACTAATGGCCGATGTGAGCACAGCCAGCCAGACAGACGGTCAGACCCAGACCCAATATGCCACTGTCCCGCCGCACAGATATCCGTACTGTAAGCTCCCCTGCGTTTCCTGGCCCGGCCAATCGTGTTGCAGGAAGGGTAGCGCAGGACGGAGGCCGGAGCAGCATGCGGCGTAGGTTCACAGGCGCATTTGCTAGCGAATTGGGGGCAGGAGGGGGGTTCCCTGGCCAAGTTTAACTAGGAAGATGCCCCTATTTCCGACATTTAGTGACGGCAAATCGGTGGTCAATGGCCATTGGGGAGGATGAGATACAGCAAGCCATGAGCATACTGGCCAGATGTGGAAGCACTCACACACCCATCCGGATACAACCGCTGGATCGACCCTATCACACAGGACCGCCCATACGTAGTATACGCGGCATGAACATGCCATCCAGGACGGAAGAGAGGCTAAGCTTTGTTGAGCCGGAAGGAGCACAGCAACAGCAGAGCAGCACGATCATATACAGCCCATGCGTGCCATCTTCTCTTCGCCTCACATCATGACATGGATCCCATCACACCTGGGGTTCCTGGCGTCTGGTCATCGTTTCCAGATTTGCGTACGGGGACGGATGGAGGCGCGCAAAGAAGGACGATGGCGGCATGGACCCTTCTCCCCAAGTTGTCGATGCCGTCCCAGACTCCGTATTCTGTACTCCGTACCTGTCTTCCCCAAGACATACGGTGTTGCTCGTTCCCTTCCCACCTTTCCGCTCCTCGATTTGACAAAAGTCATCGTTATCTGAGCTAAATCTGTCGCTCTCGGTCTCCACTAAGCGGGCTGTGCGACAACTTATTGCCTGTAGTGGTTCGTTGCGTTGCGTGGGATGGACGGATAGGCAAGAAAAGGAGACGTGGAATTCCTGGACATCCGGGATATCTCACCGAACCACAAACTGCGTCACTGATGGAATGCCAGAGTTTGCTGTCCACATTAGGCCCGACCCCTGGTCACGTCTGCCGATATCGAGCTGTTGCAACACGCATAGGACTTTTGTTTAGCCAACTGATGTGATAGAGTACGTGTATACTAAACTGCAATCGAGCCCATTACTCATTGCAGCTTCAATACCCGCGGGTAAATTCGTGGCGTGTCTTGCGCCCGAACGGCGCGAAGTTCCAACACGCAATGCCGTGGTCACACTTTGGCGGAAAGCAGCAGATTCATGAGACCACGATATGCCCGTTCAAAGCTGTCGCATAATACCATACCTTTCCCATGGGCCATTTATTGACCCCCTTGACTCTTGCCCCAGTTTGTGTAACTCGTCCGCCTGCCATTGTCGACGCTTGGTCCAAGTGGCAGGTGTGCAGAAAAGATCTAGCCTCATTTCCGACCACCAGGATCTCATTTCTGCTTTCCTCAGTTCTGCGGGTTGCGGGTTAGATGTTTGTAATTAGATGAAAATCGATAGGCCCGAGGTGCCAATTCTAGAAGCATTCACTTTCGCTTCCGAGTTTCTTCTTTGCAAAATGACACCGACCAGTCCGACACCGCCTCAGGTGGGCACCGGCCTGTAATTAGTGAAGGTCCCAGGCTTGACAGGGCAATCAGTCGGACCCCCCTGGTTAAGCGAGGAGGAAAGGGATCT